AAAAATAAACAAATAACTTAGCATGGGACTTACTTTTAAGATCAAGTCAGTAATAAAAAATTCTAAAATTTTTATTTAATAAATATATAAAATAGAAAAAAAAGGTTAAAAACTAAAAAAAAAAAAAATACAACATACCTTTGATATCAAAAAGATAAAAAAAAAAGTATTAAAAAAATTATCTAATATTAAAAAAATTTATCTAATCTTGTAGAAAAAAGGAAAAAAAAAAAGAAAATACATAAAATTTAATATCAAGTTGGTTCGCCAAAAATTATTAAATTTTTTTTAAAAAAATAAAAATAAAAAATAAAAAGTTACATGTGATATCAAAGAAAAAATCCAGAAAAAAACAGAGTTAAACGAAAAAAGTTGAAAAAAATGAGTCGCGTTCAAAAAATTCTACTAAAATACATAAATATTCAAATAGAAAAAAAATTAAAAAATCCTTAAAGTGGATCCCACAGAAAAATGTTGGTCCCAGATTTGAAAACATAAAAAACGATGTGCCCTGACGAAAAAATTTTGAAAGTTGGTCTCACTTCTTAAATGTTTTTTAAAAAATTAAAAAATTAAGCATGTTAACATAAAATAAAAAACAAAAATAATGCAGATGTCACATAGCATATATTATATATTCGTACATATATATAATTTATTTATAAGATAGTTTGACGTAGAATAAATTAAATTTTAATTATGTATAAATATAATATTTGTAATAAATAAAAATATTAAATAATAAATTTATTAATATAATAATATATAAATATAAAATGAAATCAATAATTAAAAATAAAATTTAAAAAAATAGGTTAAGTTCACAGTAAAAATCTAAAAAAAAATAAAAATTAAGAGACTGACATATGACAGGCCACATGACCGCCTCTGCTGCAAATTTACCGCATTTATATAAAGGATTTATACAAGTTACTTTAAAAGTTATGTTATTAATGATAAAATTTTTGTAGTGTTTCCGGTTCCACCATCTAGAAAGATGCTTCCTCGTTTTCAACTGCTAAGCCCACGGCAAAAGTTGATGGTGAAATTCACCAAAATTTATCTAGATTCCAGACATCATCACACTTGATCTCAGCAGAAAAATGGAAGCAATGCTATTGGATTTAAAGTTTAAAATATAAAATAATAGTATACAAATTTTAAAATATAAATAAAATCGTAGAAAAAGATTGAAAGAGACAATAACAGTATGAAGCCTAAACTACAAAGAACAAGTGTTTATCTATATATATGAGACTAACTGAATAAAGCCTGTGTTTATATATAGTTACCAAAAATTGTAATAAATCTAGAGAAGCATTTAAAAGTCACAATTAAATAAATATTTAATTAAGGGTAATTTAAGATCAATATATAAAAATACAAAAATAAATTATGACAACAAAATGGAGTTGAAACTTTTTATGTGAAGGAAGAACAAAGGATATTTAAAAAGAAATATATGGAATTAATTTAAATATATATTTTTTAAAATTAAAGATTTATTAAATCAAATGAAATGCACTAATTTAAAAAACATGGTACTAAGTTAGACTATTCACATGCTAGAAAAGATAGACTATCCACATAAGAAAATTGTTTTTTATTAAAAATTTTAATTATTATATATTTATATTACATTGGTAAAGGAATAGTTGATAACAAAACCTCAAAAAATTTGATAACAATGGTGGCAATGTTATTGAGCTTAAACAAAATAATAATAATAATAATAATAATAATAATAATTTTTAAAAATAAAAATATAAAACCTTATAAAAATACTAAAAAAGGTTATAAATACGAAACCCAAACTAGAAAGAATGTGTGGCGCAAAACTCTAGAAAGAATAGTAGCCATGGTATGACAATAAAAATCAACAAAGACCAATTCTACCTACTATAAAAGGTTTTTGTCAATAAAAGCAGCTGTGTGCATATACAAAGACCAATTCTATCTACTGTTATAGGTTTTTGTCAATAAAAGCAGGTGTGTGTATACATAAATATATATGTAAATTTTTTTAATTATTGATTTCTCGATTTTGTGTGTCATCTTTTTTTTTATTGTTTGAATTTCAATAAATAAAAAGAATGAGAGAAATAGATAAAAAGCCATTAAAATCAATTGATAAAAAAGTGTAAAATTAAAAAAATTTATATTTTATGTAAGATGATTTCTTTTCCCTATATATATATAATATATATTTATTTGAGAATAAAATATGTGTTTATATATATATATATAGTTACAAAAAATAGAATAAATCTAGAAATGCAATAAAGTCGCCATTTAAATGTTCAGTTAAGAGTAATTTAAGGTCAATAACAAAAATCAAGACAAATTATGACTACAAAATGGAATTGAAACTTTCTATAAAGGGCAATAACAATGGATGTTTAAAAAGAAATAAATATAATTAATTTAATCAGTTTTGAATTTTTTATATTTTTATTAATTTCTATAAGAAATAAATTGATTAACAAAACCTCAAAAAATTGACAAAAAGGTATCTATGTATTGGGTTGTTAAACTACAAAATAAGAATAGTATTGAACTTATAAACATAAAACCATAGCAAAAGATTAAAAAGGACTGTAACAATATGAAATCTAAACTATAAAGAATCTAGCTGCCAAAACATGAAAAAAAAAAAAATTAAAACGGTATCAAAATGTCAATGAAGACCAATTCTATATAGGTCAAAGGATTTCGCATGTGTTCATACAGATATTTGCCAAGAATTTACTTTATATATATAAAGTTTCCAAGAATTGTAATATATAAATGCATTAAAAAGTCATCATTTTGGTCAATGTTCAATAGTAGTAATTCAAGGTCAATTACAAAATAAACAACTATGACTACAAAATGAAATTGAATTTTCATATTTAAACTTATCTATCTATATAAATGTTATATATATATGAGTTTGTATTTGATATATTATCAGTGTATAGATTTTATATACTATCAATAAATCAGATTATAATAACACATTAATGAGGTGAATCAGATAATAATAATTTATTAATGACTAAGTTATTTTAATTTGTATATATTTATTTTAAGTATTGATATTTGCTCATTAAATAATTGTCATCATCTAATTCAATGATAATGTATAGAATCTATATACTGATAGTGTATCAAATATAATATAATATATATATATATATATTGAGTTGTCAAAAATTGTAATAAATCTAATATAAATGCATTCAAAAGTCACCATTAGATAAAATGTTTAATTAGAGTAATTCAAGGTCACTAACACTATAAAAAGTTATGACTCCAAAATGGTATTGAAACTTTATGAATTTATTTAAACTTATCTATCTTTAAATTACAAGTACAAAATAAATTGCAATCATAATTGAACTACAATAATTAATAAATTAGAATTGAACTAAACAATGAAATCTACATAATAAAATTCAGAGCTAAGACCTCAAGATTTTAGAACTTTCTCCTTATCATTAAGGATTAATATTTCATATACTGACAGTGTATCATTTTTATACATTGTCAATGAATAATACAATGACACATCATTAATAAATAAAATTTAAAATTTTAAGTTTTTAAAAATAAATATTAATAAATTTATTTAAAGTTAATTAATTAAAATTAAATTTTTTTTCTTCTTTGTCACCTCCCTCTGTATTTATGGTCTACTTCTTTTGATTTTTTAATTCTATTTACTAGGTAAGCTTTTTGTCTCAATCAAATTTCATGATTTCAAGGTGATTTTGTTGAATTTCACTTCGAAATTTTCGTTTTTGTTTGCAATTTTGAATACTGATTTTGGGTATTGGGTGTTGAATGACTTTATTTGCTCCCAATTTTATGTTCTGTTACATAAATAACATTTGTTATTTCTCCATTTTTATCCTGGACTTGTATTTTTACACCTTGTGCTTTGTTTTGTCCCTTTTCTATTTACCAGAGTAGTTCTTTTTTTTTTTTCTTTTCGAATAGCCAAATTTAAAGATTTCCACTGAAATTATTGCACATTGTGGTTTTATGTACTGCATTGAGTTTCTACCGATTGACAAGGCATGAGAGCTGGGAAAATTGTCAAATCAGATTATATGTCGAATCTGATAATCTTGACAGCACTGATCAACCCTGGAGTGAGTGTTATCTCTTGACAGTATTGATCAATTGCTAATTTGTGATGGAGGTTTCACTACTAGCCTAAATTTTGTTTTGTTCATTATAAAAGTTCATTTCATGCTGTGTTTTAATTGTTAATAAATTTCATGCTGGGAAAGTTTATCTAGTAAAAAGAATTAGAAAATCAAAAGGAGGAGGCGATAAATACAGAGAGAGAGAGAGAGAGAGAGAGAGAGAGAGAGAGGTGATAAAGAAGAGAAAATTTTTAATTTAATTAATTAAACCTAAATAAATTTACTAATATTTATTTTTAAGAGCTTAAAATTTTAAATTTTATTTATTAATGAATCTTTATTTTATTTATCAATAATATATAAAAATGATACACTATCGGTGTATAAAATATTAATCCTATCACTAAACCAAGTCCTCACTGGTTTTCAACTTCGTTATCTTGTTTCATATAAAAAGATTAAAAGCTTATTTTGGATATTTTTCCTTAAATTAAAAAATTCAGCCCGTCACCAAAGAGCTAATTAATTGACTGAAGAAAAAGATTGGCTTAACCTTGACTGGCCAAATCTGTTGGCCAATCTAAAAGCTGATTGATTTGTTTATTATGATATTTATTTAAGTTGAATCCAATCAGTTGATATTTGAAGAGGTAGCATCTGTTTCTTCCAAACAGAAAATGACATCTTTTACCATGTGTAAGAGAGATCAGATCAGAGATTCAAAGCATTTGAAAAAAGACCAAATCAAAATTAGATCAAGTTGAAATATTCAAGAAAATAACCTTGCTAAATTCAAAACTTATGTCCCAGCTAACGGCTATATATACATTGATGATTAAGGAAAGCAAGCACCAAACATTTATCTCCCGTTATAAGAAGTTCTGTCGATTTTGATCCAAATATCCTTTCCTGCAAGACGACTGGTTCAGTTATGGATACCCTTTTTCAGTTCCCATCTATTCTCATTGCTAGCCTTGTTGCCTTGTTAATATATAAACTTTTCAGTTCGAGGCGAAAGAGCTGCGATGTGCCTGAAGCTGGTGGTGCTTGGCCGGTTATTGGGCACCTGCACCTCTTTAGTAGCAAGGAAATACTTTACAGGACACTTTTTGCCTTGTCTGAAAAATACGGACCGGTCTTTAGTCTAAGACTAGGATCTCATAAAGCTTTGGTGGTAGGTAATTCGGAAATGGCGAAAGAGTGCTTGACTATCCATGATAAGGCTTTCGCTACCAGACCAAGTCTATCTGCCTCAAAGCTACTTGGTTATGATTATGCTATGTTTGGGTTTGCTCCTTATGGACCTTACTGGCGTGAGATGCGCAAGATAACAACCCTTGAGCTTCTGTCAAATCACCGCCTTGACATGTTCAACTTCAAGCAGATACGAGCTTCAGAGGTACACATCGGAATAAAAGACTTGTACAAGACTTGGATGACGAAACGTAGTGGAGATCAAAGCAGTGTTTTGGTGGACATGAAACAGTGGTTTGCAGATTTAACACATAATATGGCCTTCAGAATAGTGGTTGGGAAAAGATACTATGGAGCTACTGCTGTTTCTGATGATGAAGGAGAGGCACGTCAATGCCAAAAATCGATCAAAGAATACTTTCACCTGTTTGGGGCGTTTGTGTTGTCTGATGCAATCCCATTTCTTGGGTGGTTGGATATCGGAGGATATAAGAAAGAAATGAAGAGAATAGCTAAAGAATTGGACATTTTCGTCCAAGGCTGGCTTGACGAGCATAAACAGAAGAGACTATCGGGTGGCGATCGGAAGGAAGAGCAAGATTTCATGGATGTGATGCTGACTGTCACGGAAGATGCAAAGCTTTCTGGATTCGATAAGGATACTATTACCAAGGCAACTTCCCTAGTAAGTAATTTAAAATCTAAACCTTGAAAGCAACAATTACTACAAACTATAAATCCTTGGACAGATTTCAACATGTTAATAATCTCAACAGTCTCTGAAATTTGGATGTTATACTGAACTTTCAAATGAAAATTAGCTAAGAGGTAAGAGTTTATTAAAGATCTTTCTTTCTTAGAAACTTGAACTCCAGCTTTAGATGTGATTCAGGTAAAATTTCGGCACTTCAGGACAAGTTTGTTCACAGTAGCTTGGTCTTTACTCTTATGCTTTGCATGTATTCTTGAAAAGTTAGTCTATTTAGTTTGTCTCAACTAACAAATTAAATTGACTTTGCCTTGAAAAAAAAAAGGTTGCTGGTTAAGGCCTAAATAAACCATAATCATGTGAAATATCAAATATATCCGTTTCCTTTGCGTCAGCCATACTACAATTATTTAGTAAACTATATATGTACATTACTACAATAAGTTTCTCATAAGCTTCTCTTTTGGCAGAATTTGATTTTAGGTGCAGCTGACTCCAACATGGTCCCTCTAATTTGGGGTCTAGCTTTACTTCTTAACAATCCCAACACCTTGAGAAAGGCTAAAGAAGAACTGGCCACCTACGTTGGAAAAGACAGGCATGTGGAGGAGTCTGATATCAAGAACCTGGTTTACCTCCAAGCAATTGTCAAGGAAACACTCCGCCTGTACCCACCAAGCCCTATACTTGCCCTTAGAGCAGCAATGGAAGATTGCACCCTTTCAAATGGTTACCATGTAACTCCTGGTACACGCTTACTGATAAATGCTTGGCAAATTCACCATGACGAGCGTAACTGGACTGATCCTGATGAGTTCCGGCCAGAGAGATTTTTGACTAGCCATAAAGAACTTGATTTAAGGGGTCAGAATTTTGATCTCATTCCTTTTGGGGCCGGACGTAGAGCTTGCTCAGGGGTCTCACTAGCTCTACAAGTTATACATTTATCACTGGCAAGCGTCTTGCATTGTTTTGAAATAGAAACACCTGGCAATAAACCCGTGGATATGACTGAGAGCCCTAGCTTGGCGAATGTGAAAGCAACTCCACTTGAAGTGCTCCTTACACCGCGTCTTAATCCTGAGCTTTACGACCTTTAGATTTTTGTATTAAACTAAAATATCAAGAGTAAGTTTAATGTTCAATAACAACCAGATCAAATCGAATTCTGCAGGCTTTAATATGGGAAAATCAGAGGTACTGATTGTTGAATAAATGTTTTTGCAATAAAAACTTGCTCATTAATGGAGTTCATTTCAATTTTTTTACATGTATCTGCATAACCAAACAAAACAAGAGGCATCATGGCTAACTAGCAAGGACCAAGCACAGCGTTACAGTTGGAGGAGACCCTGCCATATATAGACTGTTTAATTGCTTGGCCATTACAAATATTTACTTGAAAAGGTTTTACATTATATTCACTTCGAGGAAAAAAAAATACGGTTCCTTTTTATTTGTGTGAACTATGCAAGTAAATACCAAACTAAATTTAAAATTTAATTTAATTGATTTATACAATTATACTTGACATTCAATAAATTTGATTCTTAACACTTATAATTTCTTCTTTTATCACTTTTTATGAAAAAAAAAAAAAAAGTAAACATCAATCAAATAGTGGAATGAAGGAATTGGTACCCACAGAAACTAGATAAGTTTGAACCATATTTAGAACAGAAGCACATCTACTCGTCTATAACTTTCATATTGCGCGCCAGCAAAAACGAAGTCTCAATACAATTTTGAGAAGGAGAATAAAATAAAAGGCCTTGCTTGGTAAAAAAATAAAGATTAAAAATAAAAAAATTATTAATTTAATAATTAAATTATAAAATAAAAAACAATTATAAATTTTAATCATTAAATTAATAATTTTTTTATCTTATTCCCTTCCATTTTTTCTATTAAGTAAAACCTAATCCGAGTATGGATACATGTTTGAACATATTTATAAACCAAATGGTCGGATGCCGCCATGTATTATTTTTCCTGGTTTTTTTTTTTAATTGAAGTATTGACCAATTGAGCATGGCAGTAGTTTCAAGGGAAAATTAAATAAGCAAAGAAAATAGAAGGGTTTGATCAAGTCATGGTATGCTGAAAGTAGGGATGTCAATAGATAGATTATGAGTAGGGTAATGTATTACCTATCTTCATTTTTATATTTTTATATTATATTCATCTCAATATTTATATTCAATAAATATTTTAAATTTATTTTCGTTCTCATTTTTATGAATATTTATGATTAAAAATAATTTTTATGCCCTTAACTTAAAAAATTTATTTTTTTTATTTTTTTATTTTTATCTTATATATTTAAATAATTTTTTAATAAATATATATTAATATATATTTTTCCATAAAAGTATATTAATTTTAATTAATTTTAAATAATAATTTATATTATTTAATAAAAAATCTATTTACTAAATATATGTAATATATATAAGATAAGGACATAGGACAAATACTATATTATTTATTTTATCTTCATATTTAATAAAAATTTAAAATTATATTCATTTTTATTTTTATTTAAATAAAAAATTAAAATTTTAATTAAATATTAGTAAGATTAAAATTTCTAAAAACTAGTATGAGGGGAATAGAAGTCAAAGTCAATAAGCAGGGAAAGTGACACGTTATTCAAACAGTGCTTGAATAAACCTGTGTGAACATATTTATGAACCGAATGGCCGGCTGCCACTTTGTCTTCAGTAAACCGGTTGATTTTTCGTTTTAATTGAAGTATTGACCACTTAGATCAGAATGAGTTTCCACTTTCCAGGCAAAAATAAATAAATAAAGAAACCAGGGTCGAGGAAAATATTTATATAAAATTTTTTATATGAAATTTATGAAATTTTTATTAAAAATATTTAATAAAAATTAAAATAAAAGATTAAAGTTAATGTATTGATAGGTTTTAATAAAAATATCAATAATATTTAAAAAATTATTAAAAATATTATTTATAATTTAAATTTAATAAATAGTTATTTAACAATAAACATTTTATTAAAATTTTAACTAAAAATATTTATATAAAAATATATCAAATTTTATACATTAAATTTATATAATGAAATTTATTAATTTTAATTTTTTTAAAAATTATTTTTAATAAAAAAATTTCACAAAATTTATCTAAACAATTTCATTTAAATTTTTTCGAAGATTGGAGTCAAGTACGCAAGAAGCAGTTCTGGAAGTTGCGCGTGGTCCATGCAAAAGTTGCACGTTATTCAAAGTCGCAGATCAAACTCAGTATTTGAATGAAAATTCAATCTTCTTTCTTAAGCAAGAGAACTATACTTTGCCCTATTTTAAGCTATAAAAATTTTTTGAGTTACCAACATATGATTGAGTTAATTAGTTAAAATTTATTTTTTTTTATAAAAAAATTTTGGATTGAAGTTTTGTTAATGATTATTTATTAATATCATCTTAAATATATTATTTATAGTATTTTATTTTATGTTGTTAAATACAATATATTTTATTTTGATTTAAAAAATTAAAAAACTTATTTATTTCAGATTTTTTTACCAAAAAATAATTTTTTTTTAAGTTTTGTTCTATAAATCTTTTTATTTTATTGATTTAAGTAAATTTAGTTTTAAGAAATTTAATAAATTTGCAAAAAAAAAATTATTTTTTTCATAATTTTTTAATAAATTTAAATCTAGATAGTAAAAAGAATAACATTTTTTTTTACACTTCAGCCAACTATTCATTAGATATCTATAGATTCATCTTTTTGTTTAGTATGCTTTTTCTTTTACGATGATCAACTGATATATAAAAGTCAATCTCAAAATCACAAGATGACATCAATTGAGAAAATCCTAAAATAACCACGATGACTAAATGAAATTCAAATCGCTCAACACCGGATCTTAACAGTTACCGCCAAACCAATTAAATGAAGCAAAAGTGCATACGTCATAGGTGATACGATGTTATAGCATTGAAAAATCACCACATGATCGTGGTGTGGCTTCTGACATATGCTAAAGACCTTAATAGAAATAAAATAAAAACAAACAACTTTTGCAATTAGATTAAGGTACGTTATAATTTTCAAAATGAAAACAAAATTAGATTATATTTCTAAATTGAGCATAATGAAGAATTTAAAAATAAAATTTTAATTTCAATTAATTTATCTGTAAAATTCTAAATAGAGTGAAGATAACAGTTTTAAATTTACAAGACAAATTGAAAAAAGGGTGAAAATCCAAATAATCTACTATAACTCAAACTTAAATTTAATATAATTTTATTTTTTATCTTTAAAATTTAATTTGATTAAAATTAATAAATATTGGTAAAAGTAATACAAACTATTACTCTATTAGTCACTAACAAACAATACGAATCCCCATGCAATGTATCGTTGAATAATGATACAAATCCACAAAAGTCAAGTAAACAAGCGATACGAAGAAGAATAAAAAGAAAAAATGCCATCATGATAATCTTCACTATCCCAAATTTTCAAACTAGGTAAAAACAAAACCCTTACGTAGAAACATGGAAAAAGAAACTTGGTTAGACTTATTTCGATAGAACCATGGTGAGCGGTGACCAAAACATTGATTGATGAACACATTTTCCACCAACACAAATGGCATGGCTTAGGCCAAATCTAACATAGCTAATTAAATTTAAACCTTCATATTGGAACCATTGCATAAAATTTTAATTTGATCTTTTTTCAATCAAGTTAATTAATCTTGTTATCGATTTATCCAATGTACACAAGCAATTAATCACTAACTGATTTTTGCTTCATTTGGTTTGTTAGGGTGAAAGATATTCAATTCTAAAACCATCTAATACTAAAATAAGTTTTTTTTCACTTATTATTCAAATGAAATTTATGTTTAAATACGGCACAGAAATGATATTGAGAAGAGATTAGGTACAGCCATATATAAGAATGTGTACTTAATATCGAACATCAAAAGTTACTGCATTTAACTGTATGTATGTTGGGGTCATGATCACGTAGAAGTGACATTACACTGACATCAATTTAGTCCCAGACCAGGGTAGGCTTGGGGTAATAATCAAGTTGATACGGCGTATCCTTTAATTGATAAATCAGGTTCCATTCCTAAATCCTATAAGCATCTCAAGATTGTTATGGCTTCAACCACACATATAACCAAAATGTGGAAATATTCAAGCCAGAAGTACTGTCAGCTAAGAGCTAACCATATATTAAAGTCTCATAACGATGATATATTAGGAAATAGGATTAATAAAAAAAAAAAAGCTTTTTTTTGCATCATTTTAATACTGTCGGCAGGGGGATAGAAGTCAATAATCAGGAAATAATTTAAAGTGGAAAGTGGCATGTTATTCAAAAGTGCAGAAAAGCAGAGTCATGTTTTAAGACAAAAGCACAATAGAATCTGCATTCTTGACCAAGAGTGCCGTATTCACTGACCTGCGCCCAAACAAAAGGGTTTAAAAATATGACTAATTTAATTTGGAAAATTGAGAATCTTATCCAGAAACAGATGGATAGCTTCAGATCTCTTTCTTTTCTTTTATGGATTCATTTTTCTTACTTTAATTTGATGATTCCCTTTTATAGATCATACGCAAGCAAATCCTTTCAAGCACCGAGTGATATCATGCTATAGCATTTAAAAATCAACCAATTCCCAAAAGTCATACATTTCTATATTCCAAGAAAAATACAGCTCTGGCAAGTCGCCGGAAACAGAATTTTTAAAAAGTAGCTAGACTTGCAAGGTCTATTTTGCTATACCGTCCGCGGTCTAAGCTCTTAGTCTTCTAATGGGCCCTCTCCTGCGGTGCCGGCTTAGCATATTCTTCACCCTTGTTTGCCCTGTTGAGTTGCGTTTACTTTTTATCAGTCGAAAAAACAAAGCAGTCCCATTCCTGGAAAAAATGCAGCATTGCACCACAAGCTGTGACTTGTTGACTACATATGATTGCAAACTGCTGTCTTTGCCAGATTAACAGTTCAAAATCGAATGGCCCATGGATGATAAGGGCTTTCCATAATACAATACTGTTAGCGGTTTCAAAGCAGATAGTTTCCAAACTACAGATGACTGGCAAGAAAACCTGGAACCCATAAGCTCATCCTGAAAATAAAGCAAAATGCGAAATATTAACCACCCATATTCATTGTCGTCAATTGTTATCACCGTCCCAGGAGATTTTCTTCACAACTTTAATATACTTGAGGAGCCGAGTATGTGATCTGCATTCTGGCTATCACTAAATCATACATTTTCATCATATCTTACAAATGAATGCAATGAATTGTGTACAAAGCGGCAGCTACATAGAGCATTGTTCAAAAAACACATCTATGGACATTATAACTTGTACGCTAGTACCTAAGTAAAGAACCATAGCATGATAGTCGATGCACTGCCCTAAAACGACCTTGAATGAGTAATCTTACAGCTGCAAGGCACATAAGCACCGTCTTCTCTTGTCAATTTACATGGGCATAGTATGTACATTGGCATGGATGAATTAGCAGAGGCCTTTCTGCCCTAGAAATTAGACATCAATGAGAGAAGGAACTTGCTTCCGTGCTATAAAATGAGTGCTCACTTAAGCTCAAGTTGGCTCTCTCTTCATCCCATTTTAGAATCTCCCTTGCATATTTAAGAGCTGCATCGACGCTACTGGATTCCAATCCTTTCACGTGGGAAACATACAACTTCCGCCCAGTGAACAAAGAATAAAGCCTCTTGAACTTGACTGCGATATAATGGAATGCCAGCTGTCCCAGCGTAGGATTATTATTAATGCTGTTGCTATTTGTATTTGTACGATGACGACTGATCATGGGATGAAAATCATCAAACCATTCACACCGACTCAGTGGTACCCGTTCTATCTTTTCCTCAAACAGATCAAATTTGTTTAGTATTAAAAGGAAGTCCATCTGATCAAATGTTGGATGTGTAACGATGCTTTCAAAGAATTTCTTGCTTAATAGCATCTTATTAGTCCCATCAGCAGAGAACTGGTCATAGTCACTCAAGGCAACACAGAAGATGACCATTCCAACATCTTCGAACATCTCTAGCCACTTGCAGTTTTCTCCAAGGCCTCTTGCTTGCACTCTAATTAGTTGGTACCTGAGAACAAATCGGAAACTGTAAGGATACAACACATTCCACATGAGAATATAAGATATAGCCAAATGGGTTTTCTTCAGTTCAATAGGTAATTTAGATCACCAGAGTACATTTAACAAGTGATTTTAGTACCAACTGCTTGGTAGTAATCAATAAGAACTACATCCTCACAAAATGCAGATGACTTCATTTGGAAAACACGCGACTAAAATGTGCACTCAATATTGGCACCCACCTGAGCAATGAGTCATGCTGATCACCAGTGTCAATGCTTTCATCAGATGAAGAATGGGGAAATGAAAAGTCCACACAGGCAAGCCCATTTGATGAAGTAACACCCTCAGCATATAGGATATCCACATCTGAGGGTTCATAGTCCATTCTCAATATCTCAACAACCTGGAGAGTACCAAAAAAAAAAAAAAGCAAAGTATTGGAAAATAAAAAATAAGCACTGCTCATTGCGACTATCCCAGCACAAAAGCTCAAATTAGAATCGTAGTGCCATAAACAAGTGCAGGTATGACTGCTGGTTGAGATTGCTTGACAGATCAGTGTTAAGAATGATGGGTCTCCTTAAGAGGTCAGCTAACCTTGTGCATTAGCCTATATAGAAGGCAACTGTATTGCTAAGTGGGCCATAATTAAGGAACTCCTGGCTCTGCTTATTGAGGACATAAGAACCTCAAAAGTAAAGAATGTGCTATTATCCACCTAAGTGGTGAAGCTAAATGCTTAAGCAGCATACAAAACAGTGTGTTAAACTGATAACATTCTCCATTGCAAAGAGATTTTTATTTTCTTCAAGTATTAAACCTAGTATTGCACAAACCCCGCACTTAGTACCACACTAACAACACCATATCCATAAAACCAAACAGTCTCCCTCTTTTTATCTGTTCCTCTTGCAAACAAAACCTCACGGTCTATATGCTCCACAATGAAACGCAGACAAATTAGCAAGTTTTCCTTTAATGTTTTTCTCTAACCACATTCTGAAGGTACAGTTCTTTATAAAAGCAATTTATTGAATGTCCAATTTAACATCCTGGTGTAATTTCGCTACAGACATCAAGTTGGAGAGGAGTATTATTCTTAAAACTAGTTATATATTCAAGCAAACTCCAGATACATAAAACTAGTTATATGAAAGTAAATTATGAGAAGTTTCAACAAATTTAAACAAGCACAGAAGTATCAAGCATAATCTTACCCGCTCCAAGTAATAACTAGCAACACTAGGTAGCATTTCCAATTCACTTCTCCTGTTGTAAGTTGCCCAAATGGCTGCATCCTTCCACAACTCCTCAACTAATGGTGCATATTCACGAGTAGCAGCTGGAAAAATGGCATCCAAATTGCCTGACACCATAGTCTTCAGAAGCCAGTCAGAGAATGCTTTGAGCCTTGGGCCAATGTAATAGATAGTTTTGTTATCACTATCATCACTACTCCCTGCTAAGAAATAAGAAAAAAAAAAAATCAGACGCTTCCAATACAGATGCTATTAGTCAAATCAATTTGATCATGCTGGTTATGAGATACTAAAATGCCCCTAAAATTTAGAACGGTGAAAAAGATTAAAGACTTAAATCATTGATGATATCCACATAAAAATATTAGTTGACAAAGAAGCTGCCTATGAATAGCATAAACACTGTCATGTTTGAACGTTCAGTAAGAGATATGTGTACTAATTTCTAGCTGTAATAAGATTGTTCCTTTCAAAGTACAACCAATTTAGCCAAAAGAGAAAAAGGATTGGATGAGGGTAGAAGCATGCACATATGTATCAGCAAATCCATTGATATGTGTACGTCAACATGCAGCATCACCTTCAGGGTCAGTTTCCTTGGAACAATTCCTCTTCCTCATTTCAGCCAAACTCTCTTCCTCAAAACGTTCACGGCCCTCAAGAAGAATGCCAAGATAACCATACATGTTGGTTTGGATACTCAACTTTATATTTTCACGCTCACCCGCCGAAAATGGTACATCTTTATAAAGAATCTTTGCCTGAAACAAACCATTTCATTTAAAAGATCAATTAACTAATTAATTAATTTTGTTTCCATTATACATTCCATCTTTAAGCAGTCATCTTACATTATCACAATAAACATAAATCACCAACTGCACAGGTACATACTAAAATGAAGACAATTTAGGAAGCAATAATGAGTTGAATGCGGGTAAAATGGCAAATAGAAACATTGAATTCAAAGGTTCATTAAAATTCAGGGATAATTTCCAATGCTTACAATCAGGAATATAAATTTCCCTTTGTCAAGAACTGGAGAATCATAAATCTTGTAACGCAATATTCGCACTTTTATCTTTGCAAAACTAGGTGTACCAATTAGAGATTTAAATAGCGGTCGCATTACATTTATCTCGATTGTGGACATAACGGTGACTATCACAGTTATTACGATCATCATGATCGTGAATTTTTTTTTAATTTTACTAATCTAGATACAAAATGTAGCAATTATAATTATAATTACTCTTATTTTATAATTTTTAAAGTAGTTTATGATCTTTTATTTGCTTAGAAAAAATTATTCGTAATTTTTTTGAGATTATACAAAGTATTCATAATTGAATTAGTAGCAAATCTTCACTTAAGAAAAATTCTAATTTAATAGTAACTTCAAAGAAAGCAATATATATTAATAAAATTGAAAATGTTAAATGTCAAGTATTCATATATAATAATATTACAAACTTAAAAACTGTAATTTTAATAGATTTTAAAATGCTCAATTTATTAAGTAATTTTTTTTGGCATTTTAATTGATTTAATATTTTTATCATAAATTATTTTTAACTTATTCTATAATGAATGACATTTTCAATTATTATTTAATCACACAAAAAATAATAAGAACTAATCTAATACTAAAAAATTAACAAAAATACAAATACAAAAAAACCTTACTAAAATTCAAATACAAAATCATAAATTAATAAATTTTCCTCAAAATAAAAAATCCCTATTAGCCAAAAATAAAAATAAAAAATTCACCATTCACCCTTCTCCCTTCATTTCCCCTAACTTTCCCCCAATCCCCAACCCATTCCCAATCTCCCCCATGGCCTTATCAGCTCATTCCCTAGATCCCTACCTCTCATCAGCTCATCCCAATTCCCACCTACAGTCCTATTCACCCATAATCCCAATTCCCACCCATAATCCCTTTATTTGCCTCTCACCATTTCTCTCTCAGGAGTCTCCATCTTACCAGACAAACGACTCTCACCAGTCACTAATCAAGTGTCCAGTTCCATTCAACAGAAAATCATGGCAAACTTCCAAAATTTTCAACAAAAAAAGTAATTTAAGTGCTGAATCACTTGTGCTTGATGTTTTATGGTGATGAATTTGTGGATCCAAGTCTTTGCCAGCCTAGGATTATTTTTCTATTTGAAGAATTTAACTGAATGATTTTTTTTTTGTTTGCTTTTTACATAGAATGTTTGAATAAAAACAGAATAGTGGCTGATAGCAGATGCTATTGCCACTATTCACTGATTTGCCGTTTTTCGTAACCACTAGTTTTTCATTTATAGCGATGGCGGATGGTGATGTTACCACAAAATAGCGGCCGCTACATAGATACTCCACCACTGTTTGAATCCCTGGACTAACAACTATCTAAATATATATATTCTACAAAGCCATTAGAGATATCCCCAAGAGTAAGGCAATCTTGTTGCTGACATGTGAATAAATTCCATTGATGCACTTAAATATCTCCTTTAAACTGAATTTGGATATATTTCAGTGAACAATATGAGATCTTTACATAGGCAGCTTTCAGCAAAGAAAATCTATAGGCACATAAGTAGAACTGCAGAGGAATGAATGTGAAGATATGATTCCCCATAAACATTTACCTGCTTAAATATGGTACTTGACCCAGATCCAGTAGATCCAACCAAAAGAATTTTCTGTAATGTGCGCTGCTCAAGATAGTCAGGAACAGATCTGCTGGTCATGCTACTCAGCGGCTCCATGCAAGGATTTGAATATTTAGAAGGAACAGGCAGTGACAAGACAGCACAGACAAGCTTTGTTCCAGCCTAAATTTAATTTGAACAATAAATGAATGCTTAATTAGAACTATCTTCATCCACCCAAAAAATCAATTCAAAAATAATAATAATAATAAACATATAAAGGCAGAGAGCACACTGAAATATGTGTATAGTATATACCTTTCCCCATATATATCCTTTTGTATTTTTTTGTCCCTCTTCTTGGTATGACCCATCTTCATTCACCCAAAAGTGTGGGTTGCCCGCAACTTGAACCCCTGCCAACTGCAACGTTCACCAAAATGGTCATTGATAATCCTAGCACAATGTTTGAATAAAAAAAAAAATCCTACCACAATAATGACCATCTTAATAACTTTACATGTTTAGAAATTTCTACCTGCAACATCCTAAGTTCTACTTTTGTGATTTCTCGACCATTTATGCAAACTTGTGTGCTTCCATTGCTAGCATCTGGCCTGATAGAACCACCAACATTTAGATGGGGACTAATTATCTTGGAAGGTTTCTGTCCCTCCTGTCAATTGTAGCACAATCATCAGTTTCCACAAATGATGCAAATAAATTCCAGCAAAGAAACCATACAACAAATTCATTCAGAGATTCAATATTCACCTTTCCCCAAAGACCGGATACTTTATCATACCAATAGCTTCCTGGTTTTAGCTTCTTTGGTGGGTTAGGGCAACTCTGCAATATAGCCAACTCCTCATGACAAAGAGGTTGTCCATTCACACAAATATACTCAGGGGGCAGCTGATTTGCTTCACACAACTTTTCAGCCTTCATTATCTGTCTTACCTCCAAATCACTAAGCAGCCGTTTAAGCATTCGTGAACACTTTCCCAAACTCCCACGTTTGGACTCATCAATCGGAAATCCAATACAAGTAACACATTTCCTTCCTTCAGGCATAGACCCCATAGCTCTAAGCACGCAATTACTACAATACTTGGCATCACAAACGATACAAACCTCCTTCTCTGTGAACCTATTCCCTTTAAAACATCGATAGCATGACCCTTTCTTCCCTTTCGTTTGTGGCTCTCTTTTAACTGTAACAACCTGATGTTGCACATCATCTTGACTAAATTCCTCATCGAGTCCATTATCCGATTCAATATCTCGAAAAGTAACAACCTGAGGTCTCCTAACTTCAGCACTTGAATCATTATTACAATCCCCAGTCTTAAGAGAAGAAACCCGCGAAGACGGGTAATCTAAACTCAAAACAGACTCATTAGAACCCCAATCAGCTTGATTCAAATCATCATCATTCGAAACCCCTGCTCGCGATGAACTTTCCCTGGATTTATCAAAGCTATCACAATAATCAAGCATACTCGAATGTTCATTACTAACAGAACAAGCCCCTAACCGCCGCGAAGAAATATCATTATTGTTAATCAATTCAGCTAACTCCCCAGACTCGTAACTACTTAACTCTCCAGATAACAAACAGTTGTTAGTATTTTCAGAAACCCTTTCTTCAAAAGCAATAACCGAAGTCGGTGAAACAGTTGGTTGAAGAAGAAGTTCTTTAGAGAATCTGTTACGATCTGGTGCTAAAATTGGAGTTACAACTGGTATATGAAGTTCAGTATTGGAAAGTGGTACCTTTGAAGCAACGGCGGCTAATGGGATTTTCTCGACGTTGATTGGAACTGCTCGTGGAAGCTCGTAGGGTACCGGAGGGCCGGTATATTCCACTGCAAAAGAATATTCTCGTTCTTCTTCATTTTCTAAGCTTGGAAAAGTTGTACCTTCTTCCGGTGGCATTTCTGGGTCTTCTCGGGTTAGAGAAATGGGAGAAGAATTGTTGAAATATGGGGAAGAATGAAATGAAAGTAGAAGGTTAAAAGAAAAATAAAAAACAAAGAATATTGGGGTTGTAGAGGGTGGGAAAATGACAGAAAATGAATGAGGAAGAAAAAAATGGAGTCACTGGGATTGGCTTAGAATTGGAATCTAGATTGTTTTGTAAAGTGGGCATGTGGGGTATGAGCTGGGGAAGAACTTTTGTCTTTTTAGGTAAGGGTGGCTAGCTTAGGCCTTAGCTAGCGAAATTTGAGTGGTGGAGTTTTGGAATGGGAGCTGTGAAAGAAAAAAGAAAGTGTAAAGAGTGAGGAGCAGCTATGGGGGAATTTGGATTTGGCCGAGGATTTTTCTTTTTTATTTGAGTACTTTCGTTTTCAATATGTTTGGTTTACGACATTGAATTTGAAGTTCTTTTTGGAGTTTCACTTTCTGAATTTTGGTTGTGTGAGTTTTTAAGAGCTGAGGTTTTTTACTGGTTGTTTGGATTAGAGGTTTCTGCCTTTTGTTGGAGTATGCAATTTGAAAGGAATCAAAATCAAGGAATTATTTTAAAAACAAATAAGTGGTTTTTTTTTTTTTCTCCCAATAAGTGGTTGATGGGTTGATAGAGAGTTCATCTGATTCTGTTAACTGGTTTTTGGTAATATATTTTAAGATTAATGGTGTTTTTGACAATTTGAGAAGAAAAAAGTAAAGAACTTTACATTTTTAAAATAGTAGAAAAAAAATTTGATTTAAATCCTTTTAATTTTTGAGTTTTGAAATAGTTTACATTATAAAATAGATTTGATATCATCAAATCATTACCCATTTGAGTGTAAATGATAGCTTTGGAAGCCAATTATAAGTATATGAGTTATTAAAAATTTAATATTAATAAATTTTAAATTTAATTTAAATTAAATCATATAATCATAAATTTACAGTAACAAATATGAATTCAAATTTTAAATCCTTATAAAAATTAAATCAATTTCATTAAACTTACAACTGAATTATTACATTTCCATAATTCCATGGAATTTGCAAAACCTAAATTAAACTTTCTTTTAAAGACATAATCCACCAACTTTAACCCCAAGAAAAACAAAGTGATCATAAAGTGAACAATAAATCTCTATTGCCCTCCTGCTGCTCCTTAAATGGTTGAGATTACGCACACAGGAACAATAGGCCCCATGATTGGGGCTTAGGATAAAAAGATTCGATCCTCCGCAACCGAATCCCTGGAATGCATGTACTCTCCTCATCCGTGTCATGAAAGGCCCGGCCTTGGATAGCCCGTACCGGTTTTTTGGGTTGATGACCTAACGGTGGTAATTAGATGGGGATAAGTTCGTTTTGGGGGCATTTTTAATTGGGATTACATTTGGGTTCGATTTTGATCATATTTGCCATATATTGCATGATTAAATAAAATTTTAAAACAGGACAAATATATTTTGTTCAAAGGTTTGAATATTTTTATTGCTATCAGATATCAATGTGATTCCAATTTAAATTGAATTAAATTTAAAATTCAAAAATAAAAAAATTTATGTTAAACTTTAAATTTTCAGATTGAATCAAGATTTTTCACGTTATATTTAGTGGTCAAATTAGACGCCGGTAGTTATTGATAATTGATAGTCACAGGAAATGGAAATTCTAGCATTCCAAGTACCCAACCAAACGTGCCTTTATTAAATAATCAATCTGCATCTAGCAATAAGCAAACTTTTCACTATCACAAAGCTGAAAGTCTATCATTTAAGGCCATGATTATGACAATTTGAAGGCGACTAATGTCTTGGGTGTAATTATCTTTAATCAGCTTGTCTCTTTTATAGCAATATTTTCCATCTACTTCATCCTAAAACCAAACTACTAGCTAGTTTCCTCTAAAACCTTGCCATTAAAGATTAGTCAGCTGCTCTTATCAAAAAAAGAAAAAAGATTAGTCAGCTACTGAAATTGAATTAATGGTTTTGACAGGAGATTGTCAACAAACACATGGAAACAAATGATCCATCAATACCAAACTCCTGTCTTCACGTTGCTTTACTGCCTAATATTTAGGCCTTGTGAAAGAAACTTCACATGATTATTATTTGTTTTGATTGCTATATTGTTAAACAAAAGCCAAAAAAAAAAAAAAAAAAAAACATGTTCAGGAATCATGAACATGGTCCAGGAAGGAATATTACCAAAGGCTGAAACAAGCAAAAACAGTAAGGCCAAACCAAAAAAACTAGAAACATTTACTTCAGATTATTCATGTCAAGACTAGCTTACCTGTAAAAGGAGTTAGAACTCCAGATTTTCACAAATTGTCGGCATACAAAATTGATTAAAGTTGTTTTTTCATAAATCTCACGTTTTAATACCAAGAAAGTACAGTTGTAGAGCGGATCAGTTCTGCCAAAGATACCGGCCATGCTGGTCTCGGCTCCAAACTTAATCATAAACTAAGAAGTCTACTTCACTTTCTGCAGTAGATCTAATTTTCTGCGTTCTTTTGCTTAATCTTACTATTACTTTATTTGCACCATTGGAAATTAAAATTTTAAGGGTGCATTTGAAAATCTTGATTGGAGGGCTCCCACCGCATTGGAGAGTGAAGGTCCAGCCATTAAACACACCCTCCAATGCAATGGGAGCCCCCCAATAGGTTCTCAAATTAATCTCAAGTCAAAATGCTTGGTTTAAATCTTCTCAAAAAATGTTCAAATCCTTTCTTTTGCTTAATTCTTACTAGTACTTTATCTGCACCATTGGAAACTAGGATTTTTAAGTCAAATTGCTTGGTTTAAATCTTCTTCAAGGAAATGTTCAGATCTTTTCTTAATCATATGTCAACTTCAAAGTTCAAACCAATAAGAAAGACATAACCTGCATTTCATTAATGTTCATTTTTATCTACAAATGGGGCATAAATTATTTCATTAGTGTTGGTACCAAGCTTCGACTTGAGAATATTCCTGTAAATACAAAAGAAAAGGATGATTAGAGGTAAAAGCATAGAGTGTTTTTTGCATTTGCATTTCGACATGTAAATCAGTAGAAATCAAGTTAGAAACAAAGTAAAAAAGAGAGAGAAAGAAGTAGGTAGGATAAACTTGGTTTCATGGTGCCTGAGTTTTCGTATTTATAAGTAAGCTAAGGGGAATTATAAGGGGACAATTAGGACAGGACCAAGTTGAAGTAGCATTGACCATGTCAAGCTGACTTGATATGTCAAGTCGGTACAAATGACACAAATACCCCTGATTGTCTACTGAAGGCTTTGAGAGAAAAAAAAACCACTATACCCTTTTGACCATCAAATGCCTCTAACATTCTGTCCTCTTATCAGGTTGTATGAGTATCAGATTATCAAATTTATTATCGATGTCTCCAACGTGGGATAGATTGGCTGTATGGTTCGTCGAAGGCCAACGTTGTAGGGGGAGATCAATTTTGGACAATGACTAGCTTTGAGCCATGGTCTGACCTGGCGATTATCTGATCTCATACGTGTGTTTTGGATTGAGTGCATAATCAATTTAAAGGTTATCGAGGTGATAATTGTTTAGGGTAATTCAAGATTAGTCTTGGAGTTCATCTGGTCATGGTAAAACTTGTATTTTCTTTCAAAAATTTGAATTTGAGCCTCTATTTTGAACAACGAAAGTGAACCGAGCTCTCGATTTACCCCTGATGGTTGTCTAGTTTAGATGGCTCAACCTGACAGTTAGGTCAATTTGACAACATTAAATGAAGAAAGAGGTGATTTGAGCAAAAAAATTTAAAGCAAAAAGAAAAAAAGATGTCTTCCTACCTGTACTCTGACATATGACACAGAATGTGTCATCCATCTGGTCTGCAGTGCATCTATATAAAAGGCTGGTAAGGTTTCAAATTTCCACCTTTAGCTTTCTTTGCTTTCAATCCAACCTAAAATTTTTTATCTCAATAGCTTTCTAGCCTTCAAAGTTTTTTTTCAACCACTTCGATACATATTTCTAACCATGCCTTCTAATACGAGTTTTGGAGAGGCTGAAAGTTATAAGGTAAAGGCAAGGGAAGGTCAGCAAGGGCAGCAGGATGACAACTTGATCTCGCTATTATTGGGGGTCGTAACTATGCAAAGACAACTTATTAGTTAAACTCGATGTCTGAGGAAGGGTAGTGGCACAATGAAGAGAATGCTCGGGCAAAAAAAAAGTGAGTTTTAAGTACAAAAGAACTGTGTGCTTAGATCGACTTCGAACTTCAATATCCACTTACTTTTTTTGTCTCTTAGGTCAATCCATTTTCTATGACCGACCTTCTTTTCTCTTTGATTATTTTTTTTTTTAAGGTTTGATCTTCTCCATTTCTTACCATTTTTACTCTCTTCTTTTTATCAATTTTTTTAGACATCTCATCTTCTTCTTAGAGGTCTTCACCTGATCTTTCTTTCTCTAAGATCGAGCTATTTTCATTTATTGCTTTTCCTCGGATCCGTGTGCCACCTAAGAGTTAGGTTCTTTTAACAAGAGAGGTTCCAAAGAGGAATAAGAGAAATGGTGCACCTCGATTGGAAAAAGTGATGACGAGGGAGAGAGTCTTGGGGTCCATGACAACTCACTGAGGCCCTTGTATATACTCTATGTGACCTCAGCATAATCTCCAAGGATGTGATGAGCGAGCTAAAAGGTAGGGCAAATCCAAAAAACTGTCCTAACACGTGCTCAACACATCACAATCATGTTCTGGATACCATTTTCCTTATTTTTAGATAGGCTTCAACATAATAATGTCGAACTGTTCAGATTGGGTCAATGATAAACTAGAGCCACATCAGCTCTACATATATTAGGATTCGTTCGTGGCCAGTCTAAGGTTTCCATTTCATCTTTTATTTATTTTAATTTTTAATTTTTATAATTTGACCATCATTCAGCTCATCCTAAATTTTATTCGATACATAGTTGCTTTTATTATTCTTTGTCGACAACTAAATATTCTTCATTCTCTCTCTTTATTTGGAGAGTTCTTCTATCTTAGAAAACATTTCAGTGACAGCAGGTGGTTTTATATTGCAGCTCGACCAAATAAAAAACTTATCGCCAATTGTTCGAGCTCAATAAAGAATTGAAAGTTACTCTTCCTATGCCTTGAAAAGTAAAAGGCAATAAAGATGAGGAGCTCAAAGTTGAGGCCTAGAAAATAAGCAGTACACCTGGTCCTTTTGTGGACATATTGATGGCCCTCTCTATCCTTGATTTATCAGATTGGGATAAGATTTTAAATTTTCCACGTAGGGGGAAGCTCATTATCAATGCTCACGGGCTGACCTCCCCCGAAAGTAATAAACAAGATGTTAGGCAGGTTTAAGGTAACCTTGTAGGATTTTGTTTTAAGTTAATTTTTCATCTAACTGTTAACTCAATTTTGCAGAGGTGGCTAATGGCAAGAACTTCAACGTCTCGCTATAACAAGCCCCGCGGCCCAAAAGGGGTAAAAAAAAATTAAGCTCAAGGCCCCATCTTGTAA